TTGGAGCATTTTAGTACAGTGATACCTTGGGTTACATACGCTTCAGGTTACATGCGCTTCAGGTTACAGACTCCTCTAACCCAGAAATAGTGCTTCAGATTAAGAACTTTGCTTCAGGATAAGAACAGAAATCATGCTCCGGTGGCGCGGCAGCAGCGGGAGGCCCCATTAGCTAAAGTGGTGCTTCAGGTTAAGAACAGTTTCAGGTTAAGAACGGACCTCCGGAATGAATTAAGTACTTAACCTGAGGTACCACTGTATAGAGAAAAGGCCATGACAGGTATTTATAAGATTATACATGGCATGGAAGAAGTGGATAGAGAAAAGATTTCTCCTTCTCTCATGAGACTAGAACATGTGCACATCCAATGAAACTGAATGTTGGAAGATTCTGGAAAGGTAAAAGAAAGCACCTCTTCGTGCAGTGCATAGTTAAACTATGGAACTTGTTCCTACAGGAGCTTCAAAAGAGGAGTAGACCAGTTCATGAGGAGAAGGCTATCAATGACAAATAGTTATGCTGTACCTCCACATTTGGAAACCATAGGGGAGGAGAAGGCTGTGGTGTTTAGACCCTGCTTGAGGGTTTCCTGCAGGCCTCTGACTGGCCACTGAGAGAAAAGTATAAAAGACTAGATGGGCCATTGGACTGACCCAGCAGGGTCTAACTTATGTTCTTAATCATTGAACAGCCAACTATACACATCCAAGAAGAGCAGGCTTTTAAGTGAAGATGACAAGAGGCAAGCAGCTTGACAGGAAATAGATGTGAGCACACCAGTAACTTCCTGTGGTGCAAATGTGAAATTCCTCTACAGTGTCCAAAATCCAGAAGGTATCAGGGAACCATTGCTATTAATATAGAGCTAAACAGCCACAATGTCTCCCAGATATGCAGGCCTTATCAGGTCACTCAGGAAGCAGAATCTCACAATGAAATTAAGAGCTTTCTCAATAGCTTGACAAGGGGAGAGGTGGGTCTGAATACAGAAATGTCTTCAAACACTACATCAAACGGCACTGTCTACACCAACTGCAAGTGTGGGAGAAAGAGAATCTAAAATATTGATCTGCACGTGGAAGCCTGTTTCTTTTGCCGGATCAGGGTGTAACCGTATGATGTACTGATGGGGAAATGATTTTTTTCTTTTTTAAATAGGTCTGCATCCTATTTCTTGCACAGAAAGTCGATTTGGCCCTGTGTAGGTGATCCTTTGGGACGCGGGTGGCATTGTGGGTTAAACAACAGAGCCTAGGACTTGCCGATCAGAAGGTCGGCGGTTTGAATCCCCATGACGGGGTGAGCTCCCGTTGCTCGGTCCTGCTCCTGCCAACCTAGCAGTTCAAAAGCACGTCAAAGTGCAAGTACAGTGGTACCTCGCAAGACAAATGCCTCGCAAGACGAAAAACTCGCAAGACGAAAGAGTTTTTTGTTTTTTGAGTTGCTTCGCAAAACGAATTTCCCTATGGGCTTGCTTCGCAAGACGAAAACGTCTTGCAAGTTTGTTTTCTTTTTCTTAAAACCGCATTCCTATGGGAAACCGTGCTTCGCAAGACGAAAAATTCGCAAGACGAAAAAACTCTCAGAACGAATTAATTTCATCTTGCGAGGCACCACTGTAGATAAATAGGTACGGCTCCGGCAGAAAGGTAAACGCCGTTACCGTGCGCTGCTCTGGTTCACCAGAAGTGGCTTAGTCATGCTAGCCATATGACCCAGAAGCTGTACGCCAGCTCCCTCGGCCAATAAAGCGAGATGAGCGCTGCAACCCCAGAGTCGGCCATGACTGGACCTAATGGTCAGGGGTCGCTTTACCTTTACCTTTACCTAGGTGATCCTTTAACTTGCTGAGTTTCACCCACATCTAAAACAGGAATGGGGAACCTGTGGCCCCCTAGTTATTGCTGAACCACAATTCCCATCCTTCCTTATCATTGGCCATATTTGGCAGGGCCGATACGAGTTGGAGCTCAACAACATTTGGAAGGCCACAAGTTCTCCCATCCCACTAGCTCTAAGGTTAAGGATATCATCATTTTCCCGTTAATATGAAGTGTGTGCTTGTGTTGTGGACATGTGGGGCACTCAAACTGGAAGAGAAGGTGTGCCAGAGGGGGTCCCCATAGACATCTGGGCAAGCTTCCCCATGCAAGACAAAAATATCTTCATTTAGAACCTGATGCACCTCACCCTGCAAATTGGTGGGGACTGCAAATTAGGAAAGGGCCATAGCTCAGCAGCAGAGAATCTGCTTTCCACACTGGTCGCCAGGCTCAGTCCTCAACATCTCCAGATAAGGCTACAGATACCACATTTAAACCCAAGAGAATAATTGCTGGACAGTGTAGGAAATACACAATGGACCGATGATCTGACTCAATGTTAGGCGCATTTCTATAGTAAGGTAAAGGTAAAGGGACCCCTGACCATTAGGTTCAGTCATGGCCGACTCTGGGGTTGCGGCACTCATCTCGCTTTATTGGCCAAGGGAGCTGGCGTACAGCTTCCGGGTCATGTGGCCAGCATGACTAAGCCGCTTCTGGCAAACCAGAGCAGCACACAGAAATGCCATTTACTTTCCCGCCAGAGCAGTACCTGTTTATCTACTTGCACTTTGACGTGCTTTCGAACTGCTAGGTTGGCAGGAGCAGGGACTGAGCAACGGGAGCTCACCCCATTGCGGGGATTCGAACCGCCGACCTTCTGATCGGCGAGTCCTAGGCTCTGTGGTTTAACCCACAGCGCCACCCGTGCCCCTATTTCGATAGTACTGTGACCCAAAATTGTTCATGTGTGCTGTCACCATCAGCTGACAGCATGAGATCAGAAAAGCCCTTACAGCAGCTTTGAGGCAGTGGGAGGGAGAGAGCGCTCTCGCCTTTGGTCCCAGAAAGTACTGTGGGGGGTGGACAGATGCCACCTCTCTCAGCCAAAAAGCTAGCGCTGAGATGCTCCCACAGGCCCAATGCCATAAAACAGGGGTGCTCGAGGAAGCATATGTGCCCACAGAGTCCCCCCTGGTGCCCACAAGCTGAAGTTAAAATCCAAAAGGATACATGACTGTGGCGTAAACATTTAGGACATGGGCCTATTTAATTGTTTAAAACAATATTCATTCAGTGAATTGTTCTAAATGCTCATTCCTGGCTTCATAAAACAAGGTTTATGAAGCTGGCAAGTTTACATCTGCAACAGGCCAGAGAGCTAATCAGAAAAGCAAGCTCTTCCAAAAGATTATTTGCATATGCTCTGAAACTCGGGGGGGGGGGGCAAATGTCCCTTCAGCCCCACCCCTGCCCTCCCTAAACTGCAAGTCTGTCTCCAAAATGTATATTTGCACAAGGCGGCGTTTAAAAGAATCTGTTTTTAACTCATGCACTGTTTACATTTTATTTTGGCTTTGCAGCAGAAATTACAAAATTGCCAGAGCATTGTTTCAGATTGCACCTGCCAAGTGCTATGGTCAAATGAGAAATTCTCTTTTAAGAGAATGGAGAAACTAGCCATGCCTAATATGTGCACACTCACATTTCTCTCTCTCTCTCTCCCTCCCTCTCTCTCTCTCTCTCCCTCCCCACACAGACACACACACACACAGTCATACCTCTGCTTACGTATCCCTCTGGATACATAAACTTCGGGTTGCGAACATGGCAGTGCCCCTCCTTAGACCACTGGCATGTATTCCAGTTAGTGCTATTTGGGAACTACTTCTGAAATGGGAGTGGGGTTCCTGTGTTGCATTTTTTTGCAGAGTTGCTACATGGAAAGCAGAATTAAGAATAAACAGATTACCCCTAGGCATCAGGGAAATGTCCAAATTGAGCCTCTTTAGGAGAAACAAATGTATATTATGCCTTTTAACACATGCATACACATATAGGTAATCTGGATGGCATCCTACTAAATTCTTGTACTAGCACAAGGGGCTCTTCCCCCTCCTTGCCCCATGTGCACCCCATGCCATCCTCCACTGGAACATTGGGGGAAACCCAGAAGATATTTAGGGAACACTGTGGGGGGGGGGGAGAGAAAGAGAGAATGTTCTGTCGCACCAAGGAGAAATCTGACAGAACACTCTCCTAATTTGAATACAAACCTCGATCACATTCATTCATACACACACAAAACCACATACACACACACAACTGGAAGCGGTCTACTGCAGTAACGACCTATAGGATTGGCTTGATTCTGCATTGTTTGACTTGATAATATTGTAGGGTTGGGGGTGGGGTGGGGTATTCTATCCTGTTGCACTGAGTCTTTAATATGAAGAAAGGTGGGATGGAGATGATAGATAAATAGATAAGTAAAATAAAATAAAGCATTAATAGGCCAGGCAGTCATAAAAAGTCCAAACAAAGGAACAGGTGGATTTCCATCCTTTGTACGATGTCAAATTACTTACAGATATATTTGAATATGGTAACATACTTGAATATACAGAGACTGAGCATGTGTGTTTATGCGTACAGTATACATATTGGAATAACAGACATTACAGTTTGCTATTACAATACCAAAAGCAAAGCTAGCTCATGCTGTCATTTCCCTGATGGGTTTTATACCGGGGGGGGGGTGTCACTCCCACTGACCCCCCCCACTTAAAAATCACTAAGTATTTATTTATTTTTGGCATGGAAAGAAATAAAACCATTCATTTCTTCCCCACTCCATCCTATGCACCAATTTCTTTCCTCCCTCCCTGCGCCTCTACCCTCATTTGGATAACAGGATGGGCAGCAGACAGGCATAAGCACATACCAAAAAAAAAAAATATGAGGAAGGATAAGCGGGAAAAGTCCATTAGTTCAATTATTCGTGCGGGAGGGCAAGGATTTTTCTGCCTGAGGAAGGAGGTGGCACAGACAGAAATGGGGATGTGCCAGCTTGGCCTATTGTTCTGCCGTTGTGGGTTAATTAATTAGCGAGATCAAAAGGGAGGAGAGGGCGGGCTTCGGCATTACGGTAACGATTCAGCAGCTGTGCAACCTACCTCACGTCAATGCGGCCATCTTACAAAACGGCATTTGACTCCATCAAAATGGCTTCCTGGCACCGAGAACCTATAAGCTGCGGCAGGGTGGCCTGGAGTTGTTGAGAGGGTCTCTTCTCAGGGAGAGGGGCTGCCCTTCTTTCATACACAAACACAGACACACACACACAGCCTCCTCCTACTTGTTCTTGGAGGGCACCGCACACAGCACGGATGGGCTTTGAGGGAGGGGAGAGCAGGACTAAGGAGGAGGAAGTAGGGCAGGGGGAATTAAAAGCCAGAGACGCACGCAGTGGCCCTCCATCTTCATCGCCGTTTGCAGCTTGTGCCAAATTGGAAGTTCCTTATCTCGGCAGCAGAATGTCGCACAGCCTCTGCGCGGGAGACAATAAGGCACAGCGTCATTACTCACAGAGTACGGTACATGGGCATAATGCCATGGTTACACACAGGAAGACAAAAACACAGATAATCCCTGTGAACTGATATATCACTGTACACTCTCACACTGTACTCAGACACAAGCACTCAGCTTTTGGGGCCTTAACGCACAATAAAAGATGGAGCCAGAATTTCTTGTGTGAGGGCAAAAGGATGAGATTGTTTCCCTCTCCTCACTGGCAATATCTGCACCACAGCAGCGCAGAAGTAACGTGAGTCCTACCTGGTAAAAATGACATTTGTCTTACATATATATGGTACGATTCTGGCAGTTAGCAGGCCAGCTTGCAAATATAAGGGTTAGTCTTTGGAATGTGTCAGAACAACTTCAGTTCATCCAGGGGAGCTCTCCCAGGTCCTGAAGTACCCAATTCTGGCTGGTTGAACACAGAAACCTAGGAAGTTGCCTTATACAGAGTCAGACTGCTATTTGTCCAGTTTTAGACTGGCAATGGCTCACTAGGGTCTGAGGCAGGGATCCTTTCTAGCCCCCTCCCCTCCCCCAGAGATTCCAGGGATTGAGCCTGAGATTTTTTGCATGTAAAGCAGGTGCCCTTCACAAAACCTGCCCCCAAACCTGCTCTCTACTGCCTAAATACAGAGACCTGCCCCTTACACACTCTTTGTTCTGGGCCAGTTCCCCTTCACTCTTATTCAAACACCCAACATGGCCAGAACAGGTCGTACACTTTGCTCATCCTTGAATAAAAAAGGCACTTGGTCACACCCCTGAGGCTGTAAGTCTGCCACCACCTATGAGCTGAAGCATGAACACATCTGCTACCAGGATAATTGGTACTTTGTTCCTAGCCATTTGCAACTCACTAATTGGGTGTGAATTAACCTTTGCTACCTTTCTGAATTCAATGTGATTCAGATACCTGCCCTCCTACTCTTGATCTTGCTGGGTCACAGGACCAATTCCTACCGTACTGTTGATATGGTGATGGGCAGTAGCTAACTTTTTGGAGGGGAGGGAAGGACCACAATAACCAAACTCATGGATCTTCTAGGAAGTTTGTTTGTCATCCTGACCCAACCCAAGTTTCCCTGGGGAAGGGAGTGAAGATAAGAAAGTAGCAGTAGTAGTAGATCATACTATAAGTCTGTTCTCCCTCACTCTACCTCCAGGATATGTGAATATGTGAAACTGCTTTAGTATTATCTACTCCAGCAATGGGAAACCTCAGGTGTCGAACATGGCAGTCCAGATAGAGAGGCCTGGAGGGCTAAGCTTGACTCATAGGCCTAAGGTTCCCCATACCTGGGGTAGATAACATTGGACTATCTGAATCCCTAACAAACTACAGCTCCGGGATTATTTGGGGGAATAAACCACACAGCCTAGGACTTGCTGATCAGAAGGTCGCGGTTTGAATCCCTGTGATGGGGTGACCTCCCGTTGCTCAGTCCCTGCTCCTGCCAACCTAGCAGTTCGAAAGCACGTCAAAGTGCAAGTAGATAAATAGGTACCACTCCAGTGGGAAGGTAAATGGTGTTTCCATGCGCTGCTCTGGTTCGCCAGAAGTGGCTTAGTCATGCTGGCCACATGACCCGGAAGCTGTACACCGGCTCCCTTGGCCAATAAAGCGAGATGTGTGCCGCAACCCCAGAGTCGGCCATGACTGGACTGGTCAGAGGGTCCCTTTACCTTTACCTATGTGCTTTAAATGTATGGTTTTGAACCTGAATCTCCCCAGTTCATCCAACACTCTAACCACTATGTCAAACTGACTCTCTTCCCACTAATATATTTTCGTCTTATGTCTTTTACATAGGAGCACCCAAAGCAACCAATATGATTGGTTCTGGTTTTCTGGAGTAGATGCTCCCATACATAGAATGTGCATGATTAGAAAATAAAAACCCACCCAGCCCCTCTGCCTTCTGTGTCCAAGTCCATTGACTCACCTCTCCAAGCTGAGAGAGAGAGATGTCTTGTCTCTTTGTGTCACCGCATCCCAAGTCATGAACTCTCAGTCACGTCTGATTAAGGAAGAAGAAGAAAAAAATTCATCTCAATTAGAGAAAGGCTCCCACACGTCTGGATGGATGTCAAGTAATTACTGCTTGTCATTCACAGAAAAATGGACGCCGAAAGAGAATTTAGTTTTCGGATGATCTATGCAGGCCTTAAAATAAGGAATTTGAGGACTCCGCTTGGTAGGCTGGTTTCCAGTTTATACTCATTTGACAGAATCAAGTGGTAAAGTCATTGCCGAACTACACCACTTTAAGCTGTAGGTGTGTGGGTTCAAGATGGAATGGGAGATGTCGGACGTTTGATTGCTCTCCCACAAAAAGAGAACTCTATGCTTGCAGAAAGTGAGCATAATCCATCCAACCTTCTCCCTAACATGGTATTTTATTATCCAATATGCAATGTGCATTGGATATATTCACATTGCAGTCTTGAAGCATTACAGTCTGCGATGACACCTCCCCCCCCCAAAAAAAAAAACCAAACACAACAAACCACTCAGATTTTTACTATTTCATACTGTCAGTTGTAGAGATAGGACCTAGGAGCTTATCTATGCATTAAGCAATATGAGGCGGCAGAATTCCAAAAGGTGCCATTTCAGACCAGAGGTGGAAATATGACACTCTCTACCTTGGACATTGTAACCAGGTGGTCTCACATTTTCCGGTGTACCATATTCTAGTCTAGTAAATACAGGTAGGTTTTCTTTTCCACAGGGGAACACTTAAAAAAATAAATACAATCACCCACACAGGTGAAATTATACAATCTAGCATGTCCCTTAATGCCAGTGTGGCACAATGTTTAGAGTGCTGGGAGACCATGGTTTGAATCCCCACTCAGTTGTGAAGCACTCTCTTTTTTTTGCATTTTAATCTTTATTCTTTTACATATTAAGTCCCTTCACCACAAAGAGAACAAAACAAAACAAAAAACAGATCACATCAAATACAAAAAAATGTAACTTATTAAAAATATATATCCATATGTTAAGACTTCCGTCATCCTCAGTATGGGTCCTACGTTTTCTTGTTGACTGCATATTATATCAGCCATGAAGCTCATGGGGTGACCTTGGGCCAGTCACCATCTCCTTGCCTAATCCTCCCTCACAGGGTAGTTGTGAAGATGAAATGGGGAAGAGGAGAACCATGTACGCCACCCAAAGCTCCTTGGAAGATGTAAATGTAATAAAATAATAAATTTTAGCCTATCACCACAATCCATTTTATGTACAGGAAAGCCCTTAACATACTGTTTTGAGCATGCATTCCTGTTTGTGCAGATCTTGCTTGCCACCCGTTCTCTCTTCACCGTGCACTGATAATAATTATTATTAATAACTAATGATGATGTTGCTACATTTCAAGCATTCATATCATAGCTTCATGCATCTCTTCTCTGCACTCAAATTCTCCTTCACCCCACCTGGGTGGAGCATGTACTAGCATCATTGCACTGTGAATCACCCCACTCTCAGTTCACCCATTAGTGGAGATGTGGGGAGACTTTGCAGCTTTATCCAGGAGATAACCCAGGTGACCATTTGCAATTTATTTTATAATTGACTTAATTATTACATTATACCCCTCCTTTCCTCTTAAAGGAGCCCAGGGTAGCAAACACATCAGTGACAAAGCAATGCAATCAAAATTTAAACATATTTTGAGCAATGATGCATCTAAAAACATTTAAAACAATAAGCACTGAGAAACAGGGCGCTGTTAGTAAGGGGCTGCAGGGCAAGGGCTGGGGAGATGCTGGGGAGATGCAGGTTGAAATCTACAGTCAGGTAAAATTTTAATTCATTCTTCCACCCAGTTTTGGCTCCGGCCCCATTCATCACTGGTATGTGGCCCCCAGAAATGCTGCCCAGAAAGAAATGTGGCCCTTGGTCTGAAAAAAAGATTCCCCACTCTCATCTTAAGGGGTATCATGTACAGTAATGTCCTTATAAATCACAAGCTGTGTGAAGCAATGAACAAATTGAATAAACCAAACTAACAGAACTACGAAATAAAGCTCAGATTAAAGTCCCTTTACAACAGCCCTGTAGGGTGGTGTCATCCTGAAATAGGGTGGAGGGGGGGAGAGAGGCTGAAAACATGTTAGCTTGCCTAAGGCGATGCAATGAGCTGAACTTATGGGCTGAGGTAAAATTTAAGCCATGGATTCCTCACCAGTACATCGCAACAGTGAGCTGGTTCACACAGCATGCTAAACTGTGGCTCAGCGCTATCGTGTTGGTTTCCAGGGGATAATTTGCAGCTGCTTTGTTCCTCACCAGACCTTTGTGCTCCCATCAACCCAAAGTCCAAACCAGGAATCACAGTTAAGCTCTCTCCTTGTCACGCACCCAGAATTCCCCAGACATATCTGGGAATCGTCCGTCGGAAACAGCGTCCGGGCAGAATTTCTGAAAATCACTGGAAACGTCTTGGAAATGTTGGGCGTATGTTGTTGGCAAATTTCTCCCCCAAAAAGCTTTGAATATGTCGGGTGTATGTTGTTGGCAAATTTCCCCTCAAAAAAGCTCAACTTTTGTTTTGACTCTTTGAAAGTGTGGCAACCCTTGCTTACTGCAAGCTGTAACCAATGTTTGATGTTGCCTCAAGAAACACCCGCTTGACCTTGGTTTAGCTCAGCATTGGTGTCGCTAAGTCAAGGTTTGGCTCAGGGTGCCTTGCGAACCAGGCCAGTGTACCCCCATTTTGCTTCATGTAATTAGAAGGAACGCTAGAAAAAGCAAAAAATAAAACAAAATTCCTCACCATTAAGCACGTTTTCTACCACACACACACACACACACACACACACACAAGCTCTTTAATCCTGCTCCTTCCTTTCCCAGCTCCTTTTCTCTGGCTGGGTTAGCATCTCCTTTTGCAAGAAGCTTTTCCTTCCCCCACCAGATCCATCCACCCCATGTGCAAAGTGGGAAAACATCATTAGGGAGGGAAAATAATTTAGTTTGTTAATCGGCATCCAATGGTGGGAAACAAGAGGGAGGCCAGGGAGGGAGGGAGACTTGGCGGTTGAGGCTTAGGAAAGGCCAATACAAAGCCACCATTCATGATGTCCAGGGCTGGGGATTCGCATTGAATTAAACAGACACAAAGAGCAAAGGCATTTTTATCCTCCCTCCCTCTCTCTCCCTCCCTCTCTCTCCATGAGAATTATCATATCTCCCTGGCACTAGGAAACCTCCGGCATGAGAGAGTGGGGTGGGAGGGAGAACAAACTGTGGCCCAAGGTACAGAAGGCTTTGTTCCTGCATGGGATTTATGTCTGGGAAGCAGCATATGGTTTTGTGGTGAGCAACTGGCCATTGCGCACCCGGCTTTAATAAGAACTCCGCTAATGTGAATGAGTCCTTCTCTCGTCTCTCCCACACACACACCCCCGCGCCCGGCCACTCTTTGCCCACCCGCCTCGCTCCATTCCGTGTGCCTACAAAGCACCACCACTGTCTGAAAAACAAACAAAATAACTGTTTGCATTTGAAGAGCTAGCAAGGCAACCCTTCTGCCAAAGCAAGCACAAAAACGGGGTGCAGGGGAGGGAGGAGAGAGAGAGAGAGAGAGATTGACAAAGAAGAAGAGAGGGACTAGACAACAGCCATTCAGTCATGGAGATGAATCGGTCACCATGCAATACCTTGGCTGGCTACTCTTTCAGATGCCCCAAGCCCCTAGCAATGATCCACGTCTGTGCTTGCCCTGATGAATGCATTGGCATTTGCTGCAACGAAAGGGTGAATGGTTGGGTGTGTATCCTTAAAACGTCCATGAACTTCGGAAGGTCCCACAGGGTTGTGGCTCTCCACATGGGTGTTTAAGGACGCACACCTGACCGCGCGACGCCAATGAGCTTGCTGCAGGGAAATGCCCTCAGCTCACAGCAAACACGACTGTATCCGCCTGTAAAGTGCATCACAGCATAAAGGGGCATTTCCATATCACAGCCTTCATCTGGTTTAATTCCTCTCATACAAGGAACCCTGCAAACTTCATTTCTGGGAGGGGGTAGGCACACTGCTGCCATCAGGGCAGGACTTTGGAGGCAGGTGGCCCCCAAAAGTGGAATAAGCAGAAAGGCCCCCAAAAGTAGCTGGGCTGGCTTGCCACATTTTGAAGCGAGCAAGTAAAACACATTACTGTGTAAGGGGAAGAAACAAACGATAACCAAGCCTAGAGTCTAAGAATGCTCTGTCTGCACTGCTGGATGGACATCAACAATCAAATTTGAAACCCTACTCGTAGTAAAACAAGCCCTATAGAAATGCATGTTTCTGATTTAAAGTGTGTGTGTGTGTGTGTAAATATACCACCGCTTATCAGATATATCACAGTGTCTTAAGAATTTTAAATACCACCATTATAAACGACAACACAACATTTGATGCCGGGGGGTAAACCTAGACTGGCAAATTCAGTCAGTGTAGACCAGTGCTAGAGAATCTGTAGCCTTTCATATGATGTTGGTATACACCTCCTATCATCCCTGATCTTGATGGCTGGTGCTGATGGAAGTTGGAGCCCAAGAATGGCAGGAGAACCAGTGGTTCCCTACTACTGCTGCAGGGAAGTGCACCTTCATATGAGACGCAGACTCCTACAGTTGGAGAGGGCCTTGTATGCAATTCCATCTAACTAACCCCTTGCTTGATACAGGAAGTCAAGAGCTTGCGCACCCACAATGGGTGGATGTCCAGATTCTGCTTGAAGGCACCAAGGGAGGGAGACCCTACGACCTCTCTAGGTCATCGGTCCCATGGTCAAACTGCTTGTACAGTTAAGACAGGGGTGGGAAAGCGCTTCAGCTCAAGGGCCGTATTCCCTTCCAGGTAAACTTTCAGGGACCACATGCCAGTGGTAGGTGGGGCCAGGAGAAAAACTGGGTGGAGGAACAAATGCTAATTGACTCAGCCCACACACTCACTCTAACCTTCACCTAGGCAAGCAAGAAACATTATCAGAGTCCAAGGACATGCCCCCTCCAG